AGCATCTCTAACCTGATCCATCTAAATGTTTGTACATGTTCATAAACACATGAATGCACAATGTAGTGTTGGGAAAAATTCCATTTTTACTCACTACCATCATCACCATGAGGCTTGCAGCTAAACTCAGAGGAATAAGAGAAGTCTGTGATATCCTTCTCCCTTCTAAAAAAAAGTCTGACACTTTGACCCCATAGATCCTCATTCTACCACAACCCTCCTTAGGAAACAAATACTGCTACAGCACATCTCTGTCAGCTTTCTCTATGCCAATCTTTCCTATTGTGACCCATAACTAGTTCCCATAGTCCTATTATTCTGCTGCTGTTCCTTCTTGACTTTCCATTGCTTTGTGTTTTTCCTTGCAGAGAGCCCTTCAGAAACCAAGAGTGATTTATTAAAACAGAAAAAAAACTGCTGTGATTACTGAACAGCCAGAGCAGAGGCTGGGGTTTATATAGCAAGACGTGGAGTGACATTATATAGCAAGATATGGAGTGACATTGGCCTTCTGTAGGCACCTGCCTTTCTAGCCCTGGGCTTCAGTTTTCTAGCTAGCTTGTATTGCTTGCAGCTCCCATTTCCTGATCAGCTGTATTGGCGGCATAATAAGGCGTGAGCAGCCAACGCCTGGTTCTTGGCTGGAGTCCCACAAGGTGACAGTGATGGGTGACTACATGCTAGACATTCAAAGTGGCAACAATTCTGCAAGAGAGAAAGAGCACAAAATGCTGAGAGCAAGATCAGGCCAATGGAGGCCAACAGGAGGGTGGTGACTCAAGGTATTTTGCTTCCCAAGGTGAAGGACAACATGACACCCCATCCTCATTCCTCATACATATGCAAATGGTCAGCTAATAAGACAATATCATCAACTTCATAATAACCAACAGTCTTGTTTAGAGGACTCATGGCAGCCTGTATGGCATATGTAGGTCTCCCCGGCATCTTCCGCCTGAGTCAGTTTCCTCAATCTGCCTAATAGCAGAGCCAGCCACAGTTTTATGTGTCTCTCTCACATCTGGAAGTGTGTGTGTTCAAGGTTACCACATCCTTTTTCTTTTCTATGGCTTTGTCCTCTTTGTAGTCTTAAGATGATGAAACAAAGTGGTACAGAGGCTGGACAAGTTACCTTTTTAGACCCAGAACTCCCCAACACGTATGGTCACCATATTAGAAGTTGTAATCCCAAAATGTAAATATATCTGGGGGGAAATCTAGAAACAATGTGTGTATGAAATATATGCTGAATCTTTTCATCATCAGCAAGCACTGAGACGAATGGGGAATGTTTCTCTCATGTTTCAAAATGTGATCTGAATGAACAAGTACACTAAATGTGAAAGTCGGTTTCTCATTCCTTTTTAGCTGAATTTAGCTGTTAAGTCTTCCTCTCATCAGGGGACAAGAAGAGAGGGAAGTGGTGGGCATGGTGGGGAGCCAAGCATTTACTTCCCTTTATCTTTCTTCCCCTACGTTGGCTCCCCCTTCCCCAATTCCCCCAGGCAGTTTAGTTTTGCTTTGGGGAACACAGCGGAGGAGTATCAACAGTGGTTTCTTGGCAACTGTTACATCCATCTTTCCACATGCTTTCCCAGCAAAACAGCCACAAATCCACTCAAACAGCAGCACTGGAGATGATAGGTATGGTGCAGGGAGAAGAGGGGCAGGAGTGGGCGGCTTTCTAACTGCTGTCTGGGATCAACTTAAGTCTGGGCATTTTCATTCTGAATTTCAGGGAGCATTTGCAATTTCAGCATGCATTTTCTTTCTAGCTTCTCCCTATAATTCACAGCAATCCCTACCAATCTATTTCAGAAGCATTTTATGTCTTGCATTGTCTCCAGGTGGGCAGACGTGGTTCTCCTCCCTTCCCTACTTTATCATCACAACAGCCCTGTGAGGAAGGTGAGGCTTGGAGAGGCTGACCTGACTATGATCAACTGGAAAACATCATTGCTGAATGAGAATGAAAGCCTGAGTCTGATGTTGCAAGCATGATGCTGAGCTAACTCTCAACAGTTTTGGCTATTTGGCCAGGAATTGAAATACTCATATAAGTGCCCCCATCTTTGTGGGGAGGATAAATTGGTAGTTGTCAAAGGCAGGACTGTCTTTGGAGTGGCACCCTGACTATGGAAATCCTTGTCCCCAGATAGGTTCGCCTTATGCCAGCCTAAGCATAAGATGAATGGAGGCTACACTATCATATGCCACCGTCAGCCATTGGTACCAGTAGCATAATGCCCCAGACTCAGATTCCATGGAGCCATGAGGACTACAAGGCATTGAGAGACTCATCCTTTATGCATTTGTCTAATCCCTTTTGAAAGCCCCCTAATTTAGTGGCCATAACAAACCACACATTCTGTGGCACAAATTCCTCTAAATTAATTATGCACAGTGCTCAGAAGCACTTCAGAGCAGTTAACTATAGAACAAAGTAGATCAAATCATTTCATAATAAATGCACATCGGGAATAGGATGTCTACTATGGGAGCTTTAGGCACAGGAGAGATATTAGATGGTGGATTATATAACACTAGATTCCCAGTGCTATGAAGAGCTGAAAATCTTGCCTGTAGTATATAAACTGCTTAGAAACTTGCTTACTGTATCACCATACGCCCTGGACAATTTGAGCAGCACTGAGAATACATTACCAGTATCATCCTTGGTTTTAGCACTTGTATTGTGGTGTCTGCCCTACATGCCCGAGTGCCTCTGAAATGAGGTGTGAAAGTCAAAAGTAAGCCCCTCACTTCAGCTTTTTCACAGAGCCAAAACAGATTACAGCCTGGGTTCTTCTCCTTTCTTTGCTATGTTAGCTGGATCTATGAACAGACTGAAGAAAAAGAATCGAGGATTGCATGTGTTGCATTCCTATAAGCCGCATGTTGGAAAGAAAGGGAAGTGGAGATGCAGAACTAGTTTTCAACTTAGTCCACTTGCTTTCATTTCTCTGTTGGTGCACTTGGGGCTGTCTTATTTATATTATGTAATCCATATATGACTTCTGTTTTGTTCTACTCTAAATAATAACAGCTCAAGCTTCACTGGGATCTTATGCTGCCTAAAGCAAAAGTGCAGATCTTTCACCCTGCAATTCCCATGTGCAAAGATGGATTGGATTGGCATTTGAATCTTGCTTCATCACTCATTATGAGACAGACTGGAAAAAATAAACTTTCACTATATATCAGTCAGTGGTCTGAAGACTTTACTGTGTTGTTCTTATATGAACCCAAGACAAATCTATTCTGGATTTTTCTTGGCAGAGATGGTTTGCCCTTGCCTTCCTCTGAGGCAGAGAGTGTGGCTTGTCCAAGGTCATCCAATAGATTTCCATGGCTGGGCGAGGATTTGAATCCTGCTGTTCCAGTGTCCAATTCCAACACTTCACTGCACTTATTATTTTACTGCTTTAGCTGTGCATAAATCTATATTTTATAGATCTCTAAGAAAATGTATTTTTAGAAATATGGACACTTAATGTCTTGTTGAAGGCCAGTGCTGGAGTCACTGGGTTGCTGTGAGTTTTTTTGTTTTTTGTTTTTTTTTGGGGGGGGGGGGGGGAGGCTCTATTTGGCATTGGAACTCACTGCCTCAAAGGGTGATGAGGTCTCTTCTGAAGGTTTTTAAGCAGAGGCTGTATGGCAGGTATGGGCAAACCCAGGCCCTGATGTGGCTCCTTCGACTCTTTTTCTCAGGCCCTCCCCTCTCACACAATACTATCCCTCCTTCCTTCTCTCTTGCCTTCCTCCTTCCCTCCCTACCTTCCTTAACTCCCTCTTTCTCCCTTCCTCCTTCCTTCCCTTCTGCCCCCTTGTCCTTCCTTCCCTCTTTCCTCCCTCCTCCTCTCTCTCTTTCTCCTTCCTTCCATTCATCCTTCCCTTTTGTCTTTCTTCACTCCCTCCATTCCCTTCCACCCTTCCTTCCCTCCACCCTTCTCTCCCTCCCTTTCTTCCTTCTCTTTTTCCTTCCTCTTTTCACTCCTGGGGATGTTTAGCTGGGAGAAGAGAAGGTTGAGAGGGAACATGAGAAGCATGTTTCAAAATTTGAAAGGTGTCCCATTGAGGAGGAGGGGGAAAACTGGCTTTCTGCTGCTCTAGGGACCAGGCCACAAGGGAGCAAGGGTTTGAAATGGCTCCCTTGTGGAAAGAGATTCAACTGAAAAGATTAGGAAGAATTTCCTAAGAGTAAGAGCTGTCAAAGAGTGGAGTAGGCTGCCTCAGAGTGTGATGGAGTCTCCTTCTCTGGAGGCTTTCCCACAGAGGCTGTCTATCGGGAGTGCTTTGATTGTGCCTTCCTGCATGGCAGGGGGTTTGACTGGATGGCCCTTGGGGGTCTCTTCCAGCTCTAGGATTCTGTATCAGGTGTAGGCAATATGGGGTTTAATTGATATACTTTTTCTATCCCGTCCACCATCTCATCGTGACCTAGGGCCCTTCCACACAACACAGCCCTATATCCCAAAATATCAAGGCAGAAAATCCCACAATATCTGCTTTGAACTGGGTTATCTAACTCCACACTCCACACTAATGTGGGATTTTCTGCCTTGATATTCTGGGATAGAGGGCTGTATGGAAGGGCCCCAAGACCAAGACTTTTGGGAGTCAAACATTTCCCATCTTTCCTTCACTTTCTGCCTCCAAAAGAGAAGAGGAAGGGGTGGAAAGGGCAGCGAAGGGAATTGGGGAGAACCCCCTCCTTCCCGGCTCGCCCGCCTCGGTCTTGCCCGCCATGCAACTCCCAAGTTAGAAAGTTTGCCCGTGCCTGCTGTATGGTCATCTACCAGGCGTGATTTGATTGTGCGTTCCTGCATGGCTGAAGGTCGGGCTGGATGGCCCTTGGGGTTTCTTCCGACGCTAGGATTCTCTGATTCCATGGCACTAGAGCCACAGGTCCGTCCCCGCTTTCGCTCCCGCCTCTCCTTTCCCACTCGCGACCGTGACATTGGTACATCCTCCCCTCCCTCCCTCCCTCCCTCCCTCGGTTTGCTCCGCCTTCGCCCGGACTCTCCTTTCCTCTCGCAGAGCCAGGAGCCGAGGCAGGCAGCAGTTTTCCTTGGCTGCGGGAGAAACCGGGGAGCTGGAGCCCTCCTTGGGAAGAAGATGAGAAGGGCGCCGGGAGGGAGGACCCCACGCCTCTGATTTTCCCCAAGGGAAAGGAAGGAAGCAAGCAGGCGGGCCGCCACCGCCTGGGCTGCCGTCTGAAGGCGATGTCCGGACCCGAAGCTCACGGCCACAGCCGGCGGCTGCCCTGTAAGTCTTCCCTTGGGTCGGGGCTGGGCACCCAAGAACTGGTGGGGCGTCTGGGGTTGGGTGGGGAGCAGCAGACTGCCCACCCAGGCTCACTTTCCAGCCTCAACTTATGTCTGGGAAATGGGTCCAAGGAAGATGTCGCCTTTCCATGTTCTCAGGAGCAAGCGTGGTTATTGTTGTTGCTGTTGTGGTTGTTGTGTGCCTTCAAGATGTTTCTGACCCCAATCACTAGATTTTTCTTGATACTGGGAGCTGTTATCCATTCCAATACATCTGTTCTTGGGTGCCTTCAAGTCATTTCTGGTTTCTGGCAACCCTAAGGCAAACCTGTCATATTTTGGGCATGAGGTGGACAACATTTGTCCCTAAGGTTCTGCCTTCTTCAGAGGCTGTGAAAGAGTGACTTGCCTTCAGAGTCACCCAAGGAGTTGCATGGCCAAACCCAAGTCTCCAGTGATACTCCAATGCACAAACCATTATGCCATACTGACTCCCTAAACATACATTCTAGTGGCTTCTTCATCCTTGTTGTTGTGTATCTTCTAGTCATTTCTGGCTTATTTGAAACCCGAGATTTCTGGAGCTGAGAGTGTGTGACTCACCCAAGGTCACCCAGTGGCTTCCAATGGCCAAACAGAAATCCAAACCCTGATCTCCAGTCATACTCCAATGCACAAACCATACTGGCTGCCGAAACATAAACTCTACTGGCTACTTCATCTTGTTGCTATGTGCCTTCTGGCTTATTGCAACCCAGGTTTTCTGGGGCTGAGAGTGTGTGACTCACCCAAAAGGTCACCCAGTGGCTTTCAATGGCCGAGCAGGAATCCAAACCCTGGTCTCCAGTCAGACTCCAATGCACAAACCATTATGCCATACTGGCTCCCTAAACATACATTCTAGCGGCTTCCTCATCTTGTTGTTGTCTGCCTTTGAGTCATTTCTGACTTATTGCAACCCAAGTTCTCTGGGGCTGAGAGTATGTGAGTCACTCAAAAGGTCCCCTAGTGGCTTTCAATGGATGAAGAGGGATTCGAACCCTGATCTCCAGAGTCATAGACCAAAGCTCAGACCATTAAACCATTCAGGCTACCAGTAACTGAGGTGGAGGGCAACATTTCAACAGAAAGGAGGAAATCATGAAAATGAACCAATTCTGGCTACCAGTATTAAAAAACCCTAAAATCAGAACAGTAAATAAAGAGCATCACTCAAAAAGCAGGGGGATTCCAGACCTCATCACACTAGAGAATGAATCCACTTTTAATCCAGTTGCTGCCTCCTGCAGAATTATGGGGTTTGTAGTTTAGGGAGGAGACTTTAACCACCTCCCTAAACTACAAACCCCAGTATTCTGGAGGAGGCAGAAACCAGATTTAAAGTGGATCAATCGGGGCCAGTGAACACCTCCCAATAAAGAATGCTTGTAGGCAGGAATCAGCCAGGCTTTGAAGCTGCAAGGCTATTAAATGGTAATCAAGGTGGCCAATTGCAACATTCACACCTGTCTCAAGCAGACAAGAGTTCTTTCTCCCACCCTGGACATTATTCCACAGATATATCTGTGGAACCTCACTTTCCCAGTTTCCAACAGACCTCACAACCTCTGAGGATGCCTGCCATAGATGTGGGTGAAATGTCAGGAGAGAATGCTCTGGAACATGGCCATACAGCCTGGAAAACTCACAGCAACCCATTTCTAACCCTCACTGGACTCCACCCTGCCTAGTCTCTATATTAACAGGGTTCCAAGCCTAAATGGAGGGAGCTTTTATGGACATTTAGGAGGGTCTCGGTAAATATTCAGGTCATGTCAGCATCTCTCCATTTTCAATTTTTGAAAAGCCACTTTTATTATTTTCATCCCAGACCCAAACATCACTTGCTTGTTTTTGCTGTGGAGAGCCATGGGCCAGCCAGTTGGCATAGATTGCAGCTACTATGTGGAAGCTGCTCTGGGCACAGCTTAAAGGATTCACACCTCGTAGTAATGATCAACAGCTGGGAAGCCTCCCCGCCATTGTCTTGTCACTGTAGTCACCCCATTAGCATTGTGTGTCAGGCAAACAGCAGCCCACAGCATTCCTGTCTCACCCAGCAGAGCTGACTCAGAGGCCTGCCTTCATGATCTCTTTTATCTACCCTCCCAACCTGCCTTGTTTTGCACGGCTTCACCCTACAAACACACACCTGTCAGCTTTGCACCTTTCTGTGAAAGTGATCTTTTAAAAAAAAGCCAACAGATCTGAACAATTTATTCCCCTTTGCATGTGCCCATGAACATTTTCAGAGGCCTCTGCCCACCTATATTAGGGGAGTGGGGTAGGTGCAGTTTAGTCATTTCGTGGCAATATCCAAGGGGATAGCCTATGATATTTTGCTATTGGAAGTAAAGGACAAAATGGCATCCCTTCACCGACATAAAGATTCTAACTTGCCTGTTATTTAAATACTGCTTTGACTTCTGTGGGGAGATTGTATTTTCTCTGTCGATGCTGAGACAGCAGTCTTGGCTTTTTTTAGTGTATTAGGTCAGTGTGTGTGACAGATCAGGTCAGGTCAGTCTGTGTTCTCCAAGGAAAAAGAATAATTGTGGGATGCAGACTCATGAATGATAGAATCTGTATTGGCTGTGTAGTCCAACCTTCTTCAGTGCAGGAATTGTTTATTTTTATTTATTTATTTCAGACATTTATATCCCGTCCTTCTCACCCCCGAATGGGGACTCAGAGCAGCTCACAACCAGCACACATTTGATGCAAACAATAGTAGTAGTAAAATCACATGTAGACATTACTTATAGAATCATAGAGTTGGAAAAGACCTCATAGACCATCCAGTCCAACCCCCTGCCAAGAAGCAGGAAATTGCATTCAAAGCACCCCTGACAGATGGCCATCCAGCCTCTGTTTAAAAGCCTCCAAAGAAGGAGCCTCCACCACACTATGGGGCAGAGAGTTCCACTGCTGAACAGCTCTCACAGTCAGGAAGTTCTTCCTAATGTTCAGGTGGAATCTCCTTTCTTGTAGTTTGAAGCCATTGTTCTCGTCCTGGTCTCTAGGACAGGAGAAAACAAGCTTGCTTCTTCCTCCTTATGACTTCCCCTCACATATTTTTACTTACTTAGGCAATCTCTCATAGTCCGAGTCATCTTGTCATCCAAGATCAGTGTACTGGCGGTGGGTCCGTAGGTGACTGTGGAGCCCTATTCTTGATCTGCATGTTCTCCCACAGAGAGGGCATTGGTTTCCAGGTGGAAGGCAGTCCCGGTCGAGGTTGGCTTGACACGCCTTCCTCTTAGCACATTTCTCTCTTTCACCCTCCATTTGTGCCTCTTCAAATTCTACAGCACTGTTGATCACAGCTGACCTCTAGGGCTTTCCAGTTCTCAATGTCTATGCCAGTTTTTAAGGTTGGCTTTGAGCCCATCTTTAAATCTCTTTTCCTGCCCACCAACATTTCATTTTCCATTCTTGAGTTTGGAGTAGAGCAACTGCTTTGGGAAACGGTGGTTGGGCATCCAGAACGTGGCCGGTCCAGCAGAGTTGATGGCGGAGGGCCATAACTTCAATGCTGGTGGTCTTTGCTCCTTCCAGCATGCTGATATTTGTCCACTTGTCTTCCCAAGATATTTTTCGGAGGCAACACTGATGGAATCGTTCTAGGAGTTGCATCTGATGTCTGTAGATAGTCCACGTCTTGCAGGCGTATAACAGGCTTGGGAGGACAATAGCTTTATAAACAAGTACCTTGGTATCCCTACGGATGTCCCAGTCCTCAAACACTCTCTGCTTCATTTGGAAAAATGCTGCACTCACAGAGCTCAGGCGGTGTTGTATTTCAGTGTCAATGTTGACTTTTGTGGAGAGGTGGCTGCCAAGGTAGCAGAAATGGTCAACATTTTCTAATGTTACACCATTAAGCTATATTTCTGGCATTCTAGAGGGATTGGCTGGTGCTTACTGGAAGAGCACTTTGGTTTTCTCGATGTTTAATGACAGACCGAACTTCTCATATGCTTCTGCAAAGGTATTTAGAGTGGCTTGTAGGTCTTCTTCTTAATGTGCACAGACGACGTTGTCATCAGCATATTATGGCTCTCATCATGTATCCTCTCAGCCTTCTCTTCTGCAGGCTAAACATGCCCAGCTCTTTAAGCCGCTCCTCATAGGGCTTGTTCTCCAGACCCTTGATCATTTTAGTCGCCCTTCTCTGGACGCATTCCAGCTTGTCAATATCTCTCTTGAATTGTGGTGCCCAGAATTGGACACAGTATTCCGGGTGTGGTCTGACCAAGGCAGAATAGAGGGGTAGCATGACTTCTCTGGATCCAGACACTATATTCCAATTGATGCAGGCCAAAATCCCATTGGTTTTTTTGCCGCCGCATCGCATTGTTGGCTCATGTTTAACTTGTTGTCCACAAGGACTCCAAGATCTTTTTCACATGTTATGCCCTCGAGCCATGCGTACCCCATTCTGTATCTTTGCATTTCATTTTTTCTGCCTAAGTGGAGTGTCTTGCATTTGTCACTGTTGAACTTCATTTTGTTAGTTTTGGCCCATCTCTCTAATCTGTTAAGATCATTTTGAATCCTGCTCCTGTCTTCTGGAGTATTTGCTATCCCTCACAATTTGGTGTCGTCTGCAAACTTTACATTACTTGAAATGGCAAAATTCAAACATTCATTTAAAATAAGACAAATCCTAATCCAGAGGCATAATCTGAGGTCTGTCCATTGTCAATCACAGAAATCATTTCCAATTATTATTGCTGTGTCTGCTGCTCAAATGCCTGAATTCTTCATAAAGAATAGAAGAGAGGGGGGCGACCTGATTTCATTAGGGAGTGAGTTCCACAGACAGGGGGCCACCACTGATAAGGCCCTGTCTCTTGCCCCTGTCAATCGCACTTCGAGGATGGTGGGATTGAGAGCAGGGCCTCTCCCAACAATCTTAACCTCCGAGGTGAGTCATAGAGAGAAATATGTTCGGACAAG